AAAAAAAAATGTATTAGATGCACACACACATATATACATTTGCGTATAAATATATATATATATATATATATGCATTTTTGTGTGTTATTATATTTAGCCTTACATGTGAACAAGTTTTGTTCCGCTGTGTCGATGCAGTGCTAACACCCATCACCGATAGATTCGGTTCAAGGAAAGTCATACCCCCTATCCGCCACACAGTACTTTATCGCCTTTCTTTAGGAGGATATCCGTGGCGCTATGCTATGCAATGAGTGAGTGACTAGCTTTGACCTAAATATCTCGAGGGAAAACTCACTTTTTCTGAGATTTGATTCGTTCGTCCTTTCTTTGTGTATTTTTCTAATTGTTGTTGCTATTGTTATTTTAGCTTTTTTTTTTTTTCCTTTTTCTTTTTATTCAGTGTTTAGATGATAAATGTTCGTGAACGTGCATGCATACATACATATGCATATATATGTACATGTAAATGTTCATTGAGGTAGGTGACTATGTATAGATGAACGTAATACTTTTGATTTTTGTTTTAACTCACTATAGCCAACAATTCGCTTTGTTACATATTGTTGCAGTACCAGCATCCTCTTCTTCTAAAAGATATTTAAACATTTCGCATTGCCGAGCTATTTGCAGTGGAATGATAGCTTGCGATGAACTTAACGCTTTACACGATACTCAACGATGAGTATTATGCTGAAGTTGTGTGATTTTACTTACGATTCTCAGAAATCTTAGCGGAGAAGACGTTTTGATATATGTAATATGATTATAATGCGACCGCAAATCGTCTATTGCACTCTAAACTTAACAGAATTTGCTCGCGTTATGAAACTTATCCAGGGACTTACCCTTGGTACGCATTAATGCAACAAAACACATTCAGAATACGTTTCAAGGATTCTTTATAAATCTTATTACACAATATGTATGCACATATGCGAGTAGACTATAACTAAACCTTTCACCAACTGACTGACTGAAGAACACCTTCTAAATTTATTAACGACATTCTTTTTAACAAAAGCATTAAATGTTGTTTTCATGGACAAGCAACTGTTTTTATTTTTCTCATATTTAATTTATGCCATGATATTCGTCCCGGTATTGCTTATGATTTAATGTTGTTACTTTGTCCATTCAATCATAGACTATAACATAAACTTAATTGTCTTTCTACATGAATTTTTTTTTACACGAAATTTTAAGTAAACACGAGTTGAAAAGAAAAAAAAGTCTCTTTTTACGCAGATTATTTTGTTTTAACACAATTTTCAATATGCGATGAATTTGTTTGATGAATTTTTTTAATACATTTTTCTGATGAAATTTTTATTTTTTTTTGGGTTTCTATGAACCTTTTCATCGCGTTTTATTTTTCATAATTCGGTTAGATTATGTATATATGCATGGGATGTATATGTATATGCATGGGATTCCTCGAATTATGTACAGAGTAAGGGCGTAATGTATTGTCCATGCAAGTTAGTTTGGTTATCCAAAGTATAATTTATTTTTTATGAAATATTTGATGAACTAAAATATGAAAACACGAATTAAATTCTTAAGTGAACTCTAACAAGAATGTTTTCTTTCACCTTCTCTGTATATCTTTTTTTACGCGGTTTTTCTGGGAACATATCTAGCGTTATATTCGATTGCGTTAGCGTACACTAATTTCAATTTGAGGGCTTTGCTTGTACTTGGGTTTTTCTAGGGTAAAAATCGTGCACAATAACGATTCGAATATAATTTTCTCGCTCCTGAAGGTCATCTTTACAACCAGCTAAATTCTGGTGTCTGAAGCGTACAAAGATCTTCACCCAAATATGGTTGGAGATAAAAGCTGACACAACTTTCAACTGCGTTAGTAGTAAAATCAATTATTTTTATGCCCATCGCCAAAGGATGGAGACATAGTCAGTCTGTCATAACCTTTGCAAACCCCAAAGGGGAAACTTTAGAGACCGTATAAAATATGCACATTTTGTGATCAGCGTGAAGTTTTGAATCGATCAAGTCATGTCTGTTTGTTTTCGCAGTGTGCGTTGTTTACACTACTCGGGTCGCAAAAATGAAGATAGAAACATTTGCAATTCTTGCACGCAGGTCGGTATTGAAAATGGGCCAAATTGGGCAAAGGGCACGCGGCATGATAAATCAATGGTGTTGGACATATAAGATACACAAGATTCCTCGGGCGAATATAATTTTCCTGTTTCTTTTATTTCTTTTGCATTCGATTTTTTATGGGTGTTCTACCATATTATAGAGAATTAGATCTACTGTAATCAAAAGTTTGGAAAAACAATATTTCGAGATAATAAATAGATTTTTTAAAAGCGAAATCTTAACCTTTAGAATGAAACCGTCTTTCAAACCAACCAAAAGTCAGTGGATTTACATAAAATTTTCCGGGCGCTCTTAAAAAAGAACTGTTATAAAGAATTCCTTGTGTGATGCAAGCAGACTTATCTAGCGACTAAGGATAACGTGACGGACTGTACTTTCATTTTGTGACCACCTGACCGTAGCAGAAAGCTTATCTTTTTATTTCCTTTTTTCTCTTTGTTTATCACTCCAAAAAACATGTGTTCCTTATGAAAGAGTCGAAAGTATCTTTCGTAAAATTCCAGTACCAAAAAGATAGTACAAATAGCGACATCAGTACTATGCCCTCAAGCGAAAGTAGAACTTTGTAGAAATTGCAAGATTCAGTTTGTATTGAAATCAAAGACCAATCGATAAGGGAGGCATTTAGTGAAAAACCTTGGCTCAGCTATTTTTTATATCACATTTGCGGCAAAGGTATATAAAGTTTGTGCGGATGTATGCAGTACCCAGAAGGAGTTGGGATAGAGATTTTATTATGCCGATACGAATCATTTGCTGAATCGATCTAAGCTTGTCCGTCTGTGTGTCCTCCTGATGTCTGGCCAAGTATTCACCCGTTCAAGCTAAAATCACTATTGAAAATGGTTCGGATCAGACCGCTTTTTCAATCACTTCCTATATAACGACTTATTTCAAAAAGTCGTTACATGAATAAGCGAAATAGTGACGAACAAACGGACAGATAAGCTTAGATCGGGTCACAAAGGGATTATGAGTTAACTGATACAATAAAAGGTAGTACTACGTCATGCCCTTCTAGGTGTTGTAAGCATTCGCACACACCTCGTATATTCTCTATCACAAGTAATATAGGGTGCAAAATAAATTTCAATTGCTTAATAAGAATCCCGTGTTATAGACAGTACTGCATTATAACACCCTCCTTAATCTTGTCGTTGGTCTGAGTCCG